ACACTACATCACACCACACCATACCATACCACACCACACAACACCATACCACACCACACCACGCCACGCCACACCACACCACACCACGCCATGCCATGCCGCACCACACCACACCATACGGTCCATACCACACCATACGATACACCCCACCTTACCACACCCCACCATACCACACCACCACACCACACCACATCACATCACACCACACCACATCACACCACCACATAACCACACCACCACACCACACCACACCACACCACACTACATCACACCACACCATACCATACCACACAACACCATACCATACCATACACCCCAATATACCGCACCACATCACATCACACCACACCACACCATACCACATCACACCCCACCATATCATACCATACCACACCACACCACACCACACCATACCACACCACACCATACCACACCACACCACACCACACCACACCATACCATACCACACACCACACCACACCACACCACACCACACCACACCACACCACACCACACCACACCACACCACACCACACCACACCACACCACACCACACCACACCACACCACACCACACCACACCACACCATACCACACCACACCACGCCACACCACACCACACCACACCACACCACACCACACCACAGGTGAGGTGTTTTTGTAAAACGCCTCATCCGTAAAAATTCAGACGAAACGTTCGATACAATATAGTAAATTTTACTCCAAAGTGTTCATAGATGAGCGAAAAGCTACGTCATAGGTTAATAGCAACATGCATGTCGTAGAGATTGCGTGTTCAAGAAACCCCTGGTAGTTGGAACACAACAATTCTATTTCTCGCAAACGGAAGGCTTGCAATCTTTTAACGCTGTGTGCGATCAAGCAGAATCACAATCAAACTTCAACGCATTTCATGCCAAGCGCAATTCTATATGCACAACGGGCAACGCGCGATATGCATATTAATTATAAATTGTGCTTCGAGAAATATACCCGCATGTTTGTATATAAGAATATTATAAACAATTAACCTTTTATGTTTTTTAAAGTATCCTCAAAACAATATACTCTGATTCATTAAATACTTCACATATCCAATGACTATAACAATTGCAATGCACGTCAATGATAAAATTTATCGCAGAGTAAAAGCACAATTTATGACAAAGGGATCAGAAATTAATTCAGTCCTGTGTCGCTTCAAAGCGTCTTCGTTCCAATGAACCTAAACAAGCCAGATATATTCTACATATTCTGCTACAAGGTCAGTGTTTAGTTTCTTTCCGAGCCGGAATAGAATTATTTCTTTCTCAAAAGCGATATCGGCTCTAGGATACAGGCGAAGTTGTATAGAACAGGTGTAGTAGTAATGTATAGTTAATGATATACCGGCAACTATATATTCCCTTAACCCCACTCAGGACACGTTCTTAAGAGCGAGGGCGCAGAAATAATATATTAAACACGTTCTAATGACATTGCTTTGGTAACACACTTAAACTGTGTACAAAAGGAAACGCAAACGTTTTAACCGCCAGTGGATACGAATACAATTGCGTTTATAGTTTTCATGATTAAAGCAATTTAACTCCGAGTCTATAATTTAAAAATCAGATATTTGTAACAAAACTAAAAAAAATGGAAAACTCACGCTTTTTAGCTGTATAGCGAAGGAGAATTTTTTTTCAATCATTTGCATGCACCTGTCGCAATGAAGGTTTTTAGTCCCATTGCAGTCACCGGGTTTCCCTGGCTTTATCTCATCCTGAGTTATTTCCAGTCATCGCATTGTTAAGACAAAACGAGGCAAGGGGGCAGCGTGAAACCTGCGGCTCCCACAAAAAATTGATTGTAGAATGCATGCACTTGCACAAGCCCTACACGACCCTTGCACGACCCTTTTGAGGCCTGACTACGTCCTTTGTAAAGGTCTATACACACAATACCACTAGTAAATAGTGGTTTTAACAACGAGCAAAGGAAAGCTACCTAACACCTCTCGCAATTCTTCATATTTTTGAAGTCATCGATCGCGTCTGCCTCGTTTTATTTCATTAAAGGTTTTATTTCTTGTCATCTCACTCACTTACAAATAAACCTCGCTTCACAGGCAGCTTATCATTGTCTCATGCACGGACGATATATTGCAATAATTATCTAACATGAAGCATGATATCGTTAGAGTCGAGCTATAAAACGATGACAATTTCATTTTACATTTTGCTTTATTCAACCTTGCAGGTGTTTTTAACAAAATATCTAGACTTATACAATGCAATACTTGTAAACATGTAAAATCTTCTTAATAATTATTAATAGGTTTCCAAGGCTATAATTGGTAAAAATTTTGAGTTTATATACATGTAATAAAGTCGGATAAGTTCCCAAATTGGAATTGAACAAATGAATTTGCTTTTAATTTGAAGAAATTAGACGGGAATTGGCTGTAAATTGAAATGTGACTCAGTGTGGTTCTAATCTGCCGAACCGAGAGCGCTACG